GACGCATGCATCGATTTACAAAGAGTCGTTATTCCAGAAAAGTACAACACATAAATGATTCCATTCAAATATTCGTTTCCAATTACAAAATTTTGATTGAACTTGGCCGAATCAATAAACAGTAATTAAACATGTCCCTTTTAACGTGTTTGAATTCTGATACGAAGAAGGAAAAAAACAGAAACAAGTTCGGCATTTGTGAGGGAGCCGCCATTCACGATGTTCGAGGTCGGTGAACCCAATGTGCCCGCTTCGGTCCAGCAGCGAGGAGTGCAGAGAGCCTAAGATCGTTGTCGGTATTTGGGAACTATACATGCAATTTCTAAACGCTGTGTCATTGTTTAGGCTCACACATATACACATTTCAAAAGGATAAATCCAAATACATGTCAGAATGTATAATATCAAGGAAGACATACGACCAAAAAACGTCACGTTTTTCCCATTTTCAGTGATGGGTCGAGTCCATTTCTACTAGCTTGTGGGGGTGGCAGGGTCTGACAACTTCACGAGTGGTTAACGTGCCTCGGGAGAGACGTGTTATATATATCTGAGACTGTAGCCCACACGTAGCTTGTTTCTAGTGACAAACGGCCACGTGGAATACTATATCAGTGTTTAAAGCAGAATCTGGGGACAGTCCACGACTGATGTGGGGTGTTGACGTTGATATAATAAGTTGACGTGATAACGCCATTCGATAATGATAAGTCATAACAAAGATTATATATATCAACGTCATTGTCAGTAAATATATATGTGTGTGTGTAAGTGTTATTCACACACACTATACATTGTGTATACACATGTATACATACATCGTTGACAATGGCATGCATAGACAATTGCTTAGCCTGTCTCACAGTCCCTGAACCACATTGTTTTCCCTACAGCCTAGCCCTCCCTGCAATGCTAAAGCCCTAACTGAAACAAGTCTAGATTTCTCCAGTCTGAATTCTGTCTGGGGCTCTTTTTCAATTTAAATGGGTGTATTTGTTACAATGAAAATTATATATGTTCAGAAACTAAGCGTTAGTCTAATAACTGCTGAACTTCAACCCATCACACACACACACACACACACACACACACACACACACACACACACACACACACACACACACACACACACACACACACACACGAAATGAATACACAACTCAATTAGAATGAACAAGACTGACAAGTTATCTCCAAACGCTGTATGTATACATGGTATGCCCATCCTAGTGTTGTGTGAAGGCGTACGGTTGTGTGAAGGCGTATGGTTGTGTGAAGGCGTACGGTTGTGTGAAGGCGTATGGTTGTGTGAAGGCGTACGGTTGTGTGAAGGCGTACGGTTGTGTGAAGGCGTACGGTTGTGTGAAGGCGTACGGTTGTGTGAAGGCGTACGGTTGTGTGAAGGCGTACGGTTGTGTGAAGGCGTATGGTTGTGTGAAAGTGTATGGTTGTGTGAAGGAGTACGGTTGTGTGAAGGCGTATGGTTGTGTGAAGGAGTACGGTTGTGTGATGAAGGTGTATGGTTGTGTGAAGGCGTACGGTTGTGTGAAGGCGTATGGTTGTGTGAAGACGTATGGTTGTGTGAAGGAGTACGGTTGTGTGAAGGCGTATGGTTGTGTGAAGGAGTACGGTTGTGTGGTGAAGGTGTATGGTTGTGTGAAGGCGTATGGTTGTGTGAAGGAGTACGGTTGTGTGAAGGCGTATGGTTGTGTGAAGGCGTATGGTTGTGTGACCAACGGCCTCTGAAGACAACCCCTGGTCAGCGTCGGGAAACGCCAACACGTTGACCAGTGGATGGTCCAGCAAGACCACTCATTATAACACATACAGGCACCCCGACACAAGTAGGAAACCCTATATCGCCCTACTCATTTCACCCCCTGGTCGACCTTAATCTACGCTTGGAGATAAGCCTCTTTACCGTATGTGTATAGAGAGAGTGTGTGTGTGTACGTCCTCGTGCTTTAGGACCGTTCGCTTCACAATGTATTTCAATAAAAGCACGGTGTGATAGATTTAGATTTTGAGAAAGTAACAACGTGATGGTCACCTATCCCTCCTAAGTTCTCTATTGTGTAAGTGAGTTTAGGTTTTACGCCGCTTTTAGCAATACTCCAGCAATATCACGGCGAGGGACACCAGAAATGGGTTTTACACATTGTACCGATGTACGGAATCGAACCCGGGTTCTCGGCGTGACGAGCGAACGCTTAAACCTCTACGCTACCCCTCTATTGTGTCTAAACCTTGAAACAATTTGCTCATCGTACATTTCTGTTGTGTTTTTGTCCATGATGTATTGCCACATTTTCTGTGAATATTGTAAGAACTGCAACTCGGAACATATTGTTAGTTCAAAATGCCTGCTGTCTGTAACAAAGAAAGAAGTCCTTCTCTAAAGATATTACCTTCAGTTGTCACTGTCCAGCAGATCAACTGTTTCAGTCTGAGGTGAGTGAGTGAGTTTAGTTTTACACCGCTTTTAGCAATATTCCAGCAATATCACGGCGGGGACACCAGAAATGGGCTTCACACATTGTACCCATGTGGGGAATCGAACCTGGTCATCGGCGTGACGAGCGAACGCTTTAACCACTAGGCTACCCCACATATATTTACAATTGTTCTGAAACCAAGGAATATCAATATACCGCAGGCTACCAAGAATATGGTTGAGGCAGATATGGGATTCGACCCACGACCAGGGATCCTAAGGACGCAACTGTAGATATGTTAGACAGCTAGGGGTTATTTCACATCTACCGCTGCAGTGTTTGTTCTGTACAATATGGCAGTATCGACCATCCCGCAACAGGTAATTATGTAATTGCATCACTTAACATCAAGGCCCAATTGTACAATAATCTATATTTGACATATGTGACGCAGCTTGCCACAAACTACCACTGACATTTCACAAACGATTTGCACGTCCATATCAAAGCTTCGAATTTACCAAAGGGTTCACGAAACAATTTTTAAGATCGTAGAAAAACAAAACCTAGTAATGATTATTAAGTACTTGTTTAGGCTGTCCTATTTTCCGTGTTTCCCGTCGCCCCACTGCCCTGTATTTTCTTTCCGACGTAAAACAGTAAGAAGTGTTATCTCAATGTATGCCATGATAAGATAAAAAATGTTCATATTCAACCAGGTCAGCTTGATCTTTCTTTGTCTCCATGTATTAAAATAGGTCTCCGAAGCAAATCGACTCCATCTTTCATGAAAAAATCAATCTAAAGAATAATATATTTCCAAATTTTATAAAAAAATAAATACTTTAGACACTGAAAAACAATTTTTGTAATTTCATTTATATTTCTCGCCCGCCCGCTATCTTGCTTGTTTAGGTTAGAGATGAGAAACACACAAAAAGTATGTATTGCCATAGAATCATACAACGTGCTATGATGCTAAACTCAATGCATTATTGTACAATCTGCTATTACTGCATAAATTAATTAAAGACAACAGAGATATACGGGTTCCTAGTTGTTTGGAGTCCTCTTGATTGTTTGGTTTGGTTGTTGTTCAACGCGGCACACAGCAATATTCCAGCTATATGGCGGCAGTCTTTAAATAATCGAGTTTGGACCAGACAATGCAGTGATCAACAACATGAGCATCGATGTGATACCATGACAAGTGTCAACCACATCAGTAAGCCTGACCACCCGATCCCCATAGTCGCCTCTCTGCAATATATTCAATCTATGAGGGTGCCAACCTCCTTTTGGTATAGCGGATTCAGCAGTGTAGTAATCTGGATGCCATGAAATATTGATCTGGTACGCGGGTGACAATATTTGAAAGTTATTTTTTTAAAACAAAATTTCTTGCAAAGAGTGACAAATCAATAAAATATTTCTCTCTAAAGTATGAGCACAAATGGCCATATAATTTATAAAAAAATTCCAGTCTAAAATAACTTGTACACTTCTAAGACTCAGAAATTTTACATTCGATACCGACATATGGCTGGAATATTATTGAGTGCGGCCTTTAACAACTTTCGATCACATTACGTGTATGTTGGATGCCTAGAGAGGTTTGGCACCCTCATAGGTTCGGCGGCGATCGTACCCATTTGCATCCACAAAGGGATTCGAATCTGCCGTTAAGCGAACGCTTACACCACTGGGCTAACCCACCTTTAAATACAAATACGTAGAACGCTGAAAACCCGGTTCTGTAAACAAGTGCAATGACCTATTATTTCAATAGGGTGCTCGAGGCCACTAGAATAGGTTACTGGCACGTCTGAAAAAGAGGAAACTTCTTACAGCGAATGACTCGAACAGACGACAGGTTAGCCCAGGGTCTCCGTAACAACCACCACAAATATAAGACAAAACGAGAAAAGTCGTTTTTTTTCATGCTTTAATGCTTTAAATAGGTCAGCTGACAATCTGAACCATAGGTAAAGCTAATAGCAACAAATGCAGTGAACAACGCGCCCCTGCTGGGGGTCACGCTCTGAGACATACGTGATACACTCTTAATGACAGGTCATTCAGTCTGACGCCTACTGACATAACAAGGGGAGGTAACTCCCACGTAACAGGTATGTACACTATTTACATCAAATGGTAACATGTTAACATAAGTGTCAGTGTCATAAGTAATATCACATTCTTTCAGTTTCAACTAAGAGCTTTACTTACGACAGAATGTTACAATGAATCAACACATCACTGAACCTGACAAAGGGTCCAACCGAGGAGGCGCTTCGAGATGACAATATGGCGGCGTCTCACTCGGTAGACATGGGATTTACATCATTCATGACAATCCCTTCAGCCTACACGTGAGGATGGAATTCACGCGAGGCCTGGGGGAGGTAACCGACCTGGTCAAGCCATGGTCACACCCTGTTAGGTGCGATTGTCCCAACTGGGACAACAAAATTTGACTGGCAAGTTCGGGAGCTGGACCCAGCAACAGTTGTGTTACATCTGCTCGTCCAAGCTTTTTTTTATATTTTTGTACATTTTTTTTTCTTTTGCTATTTTTTTTCCCTATTCCCACTTGAGGGATAGGATTTTTTTGCATTTTTTTCATACATACACATACATACATACAAGTAGATAAACGTATACAAGGTATTTGGTTGTTGTGGCCCTTTTTATGTTAGTTTTTGCTTTTTTTGTCGTTTTAGTCTTATACGGTTCATACATACACACACACAGTTTCATAGTCAATCGTCATCTTCCGGTTTGTCCGAGATCAACTTCTCCCCAGCACACTTCTCAATCGGGGGGAGAAATATAAGCATTACAAAGTAGGCTGACATGTCCGGTACCCACCAGTCGCCTTTATCTGACAGTATATTGGTATAACAGCACATTCTTGCAGTAAAGATTCATCACCATGGCAACATGGCTGTCAGTGCACTGACATTTTACATATATCACAGTCAAGAAGGTGTCCCGCGTGCAAACTACTGAGTTGTTTGCCCTTGGTCAGGTCTTCACACCGGAGACATCCAATAGTGCTTGAACACCATTTTGTAACAGAATGCACAGGAGATGTGACAGAGTGGGACACACGCACGTGTGTAACTGTGCACGTGTAGTAGTGAAATATGTACACGTTTAACACGTCGATATGTTCTGTGTTATATTATCAGGTTAGTGCTGCAACAGTCGACACCAACATCAAACATGCAGTGAACTAAAACAGGTTAAATTACAGAAATAACCATAAAAATATCAACTACTAAATATTATCAATTAACAATATAAACATTTGAACCTTCGTATGGTGTAACATTGGTAACTGCTAACAATAGGTGGCAACTGCTGAATGCAGGTAAAAAGTGACACGCTATCACACAATTAACCATGAAACTCAACACTAATACAGCAATAGCACGGCTTCAGTCTGCTCAAGGCAGAATATTTTTATCACAAGATTTTCAATGGCAACCTGTCAGTCCGTCAGACAAACATCATACTATTTGAGACATGACTTTTGAAAAATACTGAAACAATGAACATGTGTTTGATATGATCAAATAGCATGATGTCTGGATTTTGGTCTGAACATTCAATATTAATCAATATATTCAATAAAACTTTTTAACAAATTGTAACAGTGTTTAAGTGTGAC